CCTCTCCACCTTCAATTCCTGCCCTAAAGACTTTCCTTTTTGAGCATTTTCAAGTCTGGTTCACCTCCCGAACCGCCTCCTACTCACGAACCTCACCCTGGTACACCAGCCACCTCGGCTCCCTCGAGGGTCAGGTGTGGGCCACCGAACACACCTGGCTCAAGTCTGATCTAACGGTACACCATCAGATTTCGCTGGACATCAAAACGTACCGCTCCGCCCTCACCTCCGCCAAATCAGCCTTCTACTCCTAGATAATCTTGGGAGGCCAAGGACAACCCCAGGCTCCTCTTTTCCATCAGTAACTGGCTCCTCCGTCCACCCTCCCACGCCTCACCCATTCTCTGCTCAAACTCTGTGAGGAGATGCTGGATTTCCTCGAGGGGATCCCTTCAGCTACCTCCGCCCTCCCTTCCGCCACTCCCTCCCCCTTGTGTCACCCCCCCCCCACCAAACACTCCAACCCCTATCCATCCCTCCCTCCACATTTTTCAACCTGTCTCCCCCTCCTCTCTCATTACTCTTGACCCCATCCCCACCCCTCTCCTTACCTCCCAGCTCCACCTCCTCGTCCCTCTACTCCCCAACACCATCAATCTCTCCCTATCATCTGGCACCGTTCCCATCTCCCTAAAAACAGCTACAATCACCCCCATCCTGAAAAAACCTCCCCTGGCCCCATCCCTGCCTTCTAACTACCGGCACATCTCCAACCTCCTTTTTCTTTCCAAGGTCCCCGAAAGAGTCATTGCTTCCCAGCTTTCGCTCATTCCTCTCCTACCACTCCTTTCACGAGCCTCTCCAACTGGGTTTCAACTGCTCTGGTCAAGGTGACAAACGACATTTGGTCCATCTGTGAACAGGGCTCCCTCTGCCTCCTCGTTCTCCTCGACCGCTCTGCTGTGGACCACTCCATCTTCCTCCACCGCCTCTCCTCTCACCTCAACCTTCAAGGTTCTCTCCTTGAATGGCTTAGATCTTATCTCTCACACCGTCTCCAATTTGTCTCCGCCAATGGTTTCTCTCCCAGCCCCTGCACAGTCTTGTGCGGTGTTCCTCAGGGCTCTGTCCTCGGTCCCCTCCTCTTCGACCTCTATATGCTCCCCCTTGGTGACAACATCCGCAAACATGGGGTCAACTTCCACATGTATGCGGATGACACCCAACTCTATCTCTCTGCTTCCACCCTCGATTCCAGGGCCCACTGCTGTCCTGACAGACTGACTATCTGACATCAAGTCCTGGATGAGAGATAACTTTCTACAGCTGAAAGTCAGCAAGACTGAGGCTCTCCTGGTTGACTCACGCCAGCGCCTCAGCACGTCAGGCACGGGCAGCATCAGCATCCACGGTTACACACTCCCACCTCCGCAACATTGCCCGACTCCACCACTGCCTCACCCCTCAGGCCACTGCCTCACCCCTCAGGCAACTGCCTCACCCCTCAGGCCACTGCCCTCACCCCTCAGGCCACTGCCTCACCCCTCAGGCCACTGCTTCATCCCTCAGGCCACTGCCTCACCCCTCAGGCCACTGCCTCCACCCCTCAGGCCACTGCCTCACCCCTCAGACCGCCAAAACCCTCATACATGCATTTGTCACCTCAAGGCTTGAATAAGAAAACTCCCTCCTTGTCTCCCTCATCCCCAACTCTTCCCTCCACAATCTGCAGATCATCCAGAGCTCTGTAACTCATGTCCTCTCCACCACCAGGCTCCATGACCCCATCACCCCCACCCTCGCCAGCCCGGCTCCACTGGCTTCCCATCCCTCAGAGGATAGAATTCAATCCTCGCCCTCACTTTTAAGACCCTGCATGGCCTTGCTCCCTCCTACATCTCTGATCTGCTGACCCCCTATCAACCTGTCCGCTCCCTCTGTACAGCGGGCTCCGGCCAGCTCTATGTCTCCCACCCGATCCACCCTACCATCAGCAGCCGGGCTTTCAGGCTCTCTGCCCTCAGCCTCTGGAACTCCATCCCACAATCCCTTCACCTCGCTCTCTCTCTCGCCTCCTTCAAGGCACGATTCAAAACCCTCCTCTTCGACCATGCCTTCAGGCGCCCTCCTACCCCCTTTGCCTTCCCTCATCCCAACCCTGCCCCCCCCCCCCACATTCAGGTCCTAATCCCTGACTGTTCAGTGCCTTGGGACGTCCTCCTAACGTGAAAGGTGCTTTACAAATGTGATTTTGTTGTTGTTGTTGTTCCCCCCACCCTCTCCCCCGGCTCGGGGTCAGACTCCGCCATTGTGAAGCCCCCGGGACACTACCCCGCGTGAAGGGCGCTGTGTAAATGCAAATTGTTGTGTTGGTCAGTGATGACCTGACCATCTGCACTGGGCTCACACTGGTGCAGGACAGGCGGTCTCCAGCAGGAGGCGCAATGTCACTGGGAATCAATCCAGTGTTTCCTGATGATTTGGAGCTTGAGTCAGTGAGACAGCGCCACCCGTGGGCCATGGACAGCATTACATGGGCTCAGTGAGACGCTGCGTTATGATTGTGAAGTTTGTGTTCAGTGGACATAGGGTACGGGGTGGGGGGAGAATGGGGGGACATCCTTGGATGCCCTGCTCTCGGTGTGACCTCCTGTTTGTGGTGTGTGGCCGGCGTGTTTGCAGTGTTAGGATGGGGCTGGTGGGGCTGGGGGTAGAACTGGTGGGGTTGGGGTGTGGCTGGGTCGGAGGTGGGGCGGTGGGTGGAGGTGGGGCCGGTGGGTCGGAGGTGGGGCCGGTGGGGTCGGAGGTGGGGCCGGTGGGGTGGAGGTGGGGCCGGTGGGGTCGGCAGGTGGGGCCGGTGGGGTTGCAGGTGGGGCCGGAGGTGGGGCCGGTGGGGTGGAGGTGGGGCCGGTGGGGTGGAGGTGGGGCCGGTGGGGTTGGAGGTGGGGCCGGTGGGGTCGGAGGTGGGGCCGGTGGGGTGCAGGTGGGGCCGGTGGGGTGGGAGGTGGGGCCGGGGGTTGGAGGTGGGGCCGGTGGGGTTGGAGGTGGGGCCGGTGGGGTTGCAGGTGGGGCCGGTGGGGTTGGAGGTGGGGCCGGTGGGGTTGGAGGTGGGGCCGGTGGGGTTGGAGGTGGGGCCGGTGGGGTTGGAGGTGGGGCCGGTGGGGTTGGGGGGGGTGGTTGGTAGGTTTCAAAACAGCCACTATCACCCCCACCTTGAAGAAACGTTCCCTTGACCCATCACACTATCCAGCTACCGGCCCATCTCCCACCTCCCTTTTCTGTCTAAGGTCCTTGAGGGAGCCATTGTCTCCCAGCTTCGCTCTTCCCTCTCCTCCCACTCCCTCCATGAGCCCCTCCAGTCGGGTTTCCATGCTGCCTCCTCCCACTCGACCTCTCCGCTGCCTTTGACACTGTGGACCACTCAATCCTCCTTCAACCCCTCTCCTCCCACCTCAACCTTCAAGGTTCTGTCCTTGACTGGTTCAGGTCCTACCTTTCACACCGCCTCCACTTCATCTCAGCAAACGGCTTCTCCTCAACCCCCCGCACCGTCTCGTGCGGTGTTCCTTAGGGCTCTGTCCTCGGTTCCCCTCCTCTTCACCCTCTACACGTTCCCCCTTGGTGACATCATCCGCAGACATGGGATTTCCACACGTATGCGGATGACACCCAACTCTATCTCTCTGCCTCCACCCTCAACTCCAGACAACTGGTGTCCTGACCGACCGCCTGTCCCCACATCAAGTCCTGGACGAGGGACAACTTTCTCCAACTCAATGTCAGCAAGACCGAGGCCCTCCTGATTGGCTGAAGCATCAGCCTCCACGGCTGCACACTCAACCTCACTAAGCCGGTCAGGAACCTGGGGGTCTTGTTTGACCCTGAACTGTCCTTTCTCCCCCACATCCGCACCATGACCGGCACCACCTACCACCACCTCCACAACATTGCCAGACTCCGCCACTGCCTCACCCCTCAGGCCCCCAAACCCTCACCCACACATTTGTCACCTCAAGGCTCAATTACGGGAACTCCCTCCTCATCGGCCTTCCCAACTCTTCCCTTCACAAACTGCAGATCGTGTACTCTCGCACACCAGCTCCGTGACCCCATCACTCCCACCCTCCACCTTCGCCCGACTCCACTGGCTCCCCATCCCTCAGAGGATCGAGTGCAAGATCCTCGTCCTCACCTTTAAGGCCATCCATGGCCTCGCCCCCTCCTACCTCTCTGACCTGCTGACTCCCTACCAACCTGCCCACTCCCTCTGTTCATGGGCTCTGGCCCTGCTCCATGTCTCCTGCCCGACCCGCCCTACCATCGGTGGCCGGGCTTTCAGCCTCTCTGCCCCCACACTCTGGAACGCCATCCCACAGTCCCTTCGCCTCACTTCCTCCCTCACCTCCTTCAAGGCCGGTCTCAAGACCCTTCTTTTGACCGTGCCTTTGGCCTCCCTCCCACCTCTCTGCCTTCCCTCACCCCTACCCCCTCCCTCCCCCCATGCTCGGGCCCCGACACCTGACCTTGGGACGTCCTCCCGACGTGAAAGGCGCACTATAGATGTGATTTTGGTTGTTGTAATTTCTGATTTCTATTTAAATTCAATTTAACTCCAGAATTTCAGGGGTTTTCAGCATCGGTGGGCTTTACCCGCAATGTTCTACCTTGCCTCAGTCTGAGGTGGAGTCCTGTAGCTCAGTGGTTAGAGCACTCGCTTTGCAAGTGAGAGACCTGAGTTCAATTCCAGGCAGAGGGCGAAACCTCGGGCAAGTTTCCTTACTCCACACAGAGCCTAATAATAATCCTCCAAAACCAAAACAATAATAAATTGGTCATTTTCAATCCATGACTGTTTGTGGGACATTGCTGTGCGCAATTGGCTGCTGCGTTCGCCCACAAATATACAGTCAATTCACTTTACAGTATATTCTGTGAAGTGCTTTGGGACGTCCTCCCGACGTGAAAAGCGCTATATCAAATGCAAGGATTATTATAATGATCTCCCTCTCTAATAACTCACCCAATTTGCGAGAGAGAAAGAGAGAGAGAATGCTCCAACGATGCCCAACAGGAGAGTCGTTCCCATGAGTAATGGTAATGCGTTGAATTCCTATAGACAGAGCTTCCTGACATCTCAGAACACTTCACAAGTAACTGTTATTAGATGTAGAGATTGCTTCCTGTTTATACACCAACCCACTACCCGCTGCCTCCGCTCGACCGGCTCCGGCCTCCCGCTTGTCCCTCGTGCCCTCCACTCCACCATCGATGGCTGTACTTTCAGCCACTAAACGCCCCAAAACTCTGTCACTCTCTCCC